GACGGAAGTTTGATCCCTGTGACTCATAATGGTAGAAGACAAGAGTCCGGTCCGACTCCGACAAGTTGTCCTCTGACCCCTGCATGTCCACTAAGTCACTCATGGGTGAGAGAGAGTGTGTGTGTCACACACACACACACACACGCAGGTTATAAAAGGAGACAAACTTTAAATTACCTTAACTTCAATACATATGAGTCTGTGTATATATGCTCACACGAGTTAGCATGTTGTGGCTGTGTTTTCTAAGAATTTCTAAGAATTTTAGGAATTTTACAAAGCTATACTATGTGTGTGTGTTATATATTTTCAATGATCCTATCAGACTTTGCCATCTTTCTCTTTTTTAAGAATTGTTTATTTTATTTATATGAGTACACTGTAGCTGTCTTCAGACACACCAGAAGAGGGCATCACACCCCATTACAGATGGTTGTGAGCCACCATGTTGTTGCTGGGAATTGAACTCAGGACCTTTGGAAGAGCAGTCAGTACTCCTAACCTCTGAACATCTCTCCAGCCCAGACTTTGCCATCTTTAATCCTTTTTTTTTTTTTTTACTTTCTTTAAAACAGAGAAGATTCAAGAAAATCACTGAAGACCAAAGAGTAGGATCTTTCTAGATTTGTAGTACTATTTTGTTTCAGAATTTATTTTATATCTTTCTTTCTTACCTAAAATTAGAAAAAAAATACTGTGATAAAATATATACAAAGAATAAAATGCACCTTTGAGCTGTGTCTGTTTGCTGCCAGGGGCATCATGTTCTCAGTGCTCTGTGGTTAAGACTGCTGCCCACTGCCAGTATTTTAAGCCTCCGCCCTCCACCCCCATCTTTAAAAGAACCAAAGTAACTATGAGTGTGTGCATATGTGGTGTGTGAGTGTGCAGTGCTGCTTCAGTTGGGATCAGAGGACAATGTGGAGGGGTCTCTGCTCTGACCATGTAGGTGCTGAGGATTAAACCAGGAACATCGGTCATGGCAAAAAAATACCTTTTCCCACTGAGCCATCTCTCCAGCCCAGGATTGTTGTTGTTCACGTTAAATCATCCAAAACAGACACTCTGCTTCCATTTATCCCTATAGTGACTTATTACCTCACCCCCCAACCCATACAACAATGATTCAGCTTTCTTTTTGTATGAACTCTCCTGGTCTGTCTTCTCCTGTGAGTGAGGTCCTTTGGGTTTTGTGTTGGCTTCCTTCATTGAGTTTGATGTCCTCTTTCAGAATTCCCTTTCTCTGCTCATCAAGAGTCTATGGTATGTGTGTATTACATTTTGCTAGTCCATACATCCCTACCTTTTGGCTCTGGGTATGATGTTGCTATGGACATCGGTATGGTGGTTTAAATGAGGATGACCCCATAGGCTCATATATGCATCTTCCAGTTGGTGGAATGTTTAGGAACAATTAAAAGGTATGGACTGACTGGAGGAAGTGTGTCACTGGGGGTGGGGTTTGAAGTGTCAGAAGCCCATGCCAGGCCCAGTCTTTTCTCAACCCCACTTCTTGCCTGTGTATCAGGATATAAGCTCTCAGCTACTGTTCCAGCATCATGCCTGCCTGCCTGGTGACATGCTACCTACTATGATGATCATGGACTAATCCTCTGAAACGATAACCAAGCTCCCAATTAAATGCTTTGTTTTATAAGCTGCCCTGGTCATACTATCTCTTCACAGCAATAGAACAGTGACTAAGGTAATTGATATATATATTATGTGCTTGTGTCTGGGCTCTCAATTTTTTTTGGTTATAGGTAGGAATTGTTTCTTCTGGATCGAGTAGTAACTCTCTTTATTCTTTGGAGGAACTGCCACACTGTTTTCAAAAATACATTTTTTTTTCCTTACAGCAAGTCATCATCATGAAGACCTTAATGGTTTTTTGTTTTGTTTTTCACAGAAGCAATAGCTAGCCCCCTTTTCCGTTGGTCTTGTATAGCAACAGCTTTTAGCCATTTAATTAGCCTGGATAATCTCAATACCAAGTCCAGGTGTCACCAGCCAGCTGAGAAACTTGCTCAATGGGCATTTGCTAAGCACACAGTTCAACTGGAAATACCAGAAGTGGTTAGGATGTAATGTACTCAAAGAGCCCCAGCATACTGCAGAGGATAGAGTCTGGAATGGATGGGCAACACTGGTTAACTGGGCCAAGGAAGGCAGCTTCTCATCGGCCAAATTACCTCGGCCATGATAACGTGTAGAAAGAAACACAGAAACAAGTGGCTTTGGATCCAGAAGGAACCAGCAGCTGCTCACATTCATTGCCCTGGTTTAGAGACAGGAGAAAGGCCTGGGCAGCAAAGGCTAAAATATAATGGGAAGTTGACAGATCTAGTCTGTTTTTGTGTGATGTGTGTGTATAGATAGAATCATGTACATGTGATCTATCTATCTATCTATCTATCTATCTATCATCTGCCTATCTATCTATCTATCTATCTATCTATCTAATACATATTTGAAAAATGTTTAATTTTACATGAGAGATTTATAAACATATCAGTCCAGCATATTATAAAATATATATATATATATATATATATATATATATATATATATATATATATATATGATTAATTCAACAATGAGAATGAGGTTTTGTTCTGGGTAGTATCCCTAAATATTAATTGTATGAAAATGGATAAGTTATACCCTGTTAATCAATAGAACAGAAAATATGCAAATTCCCATATGACAATACACTACCACAAGAAACCTACTAGGAGAAAAATTCAAAGCAGAAGGATGAGTTCTGGGCATGCTCTGAGCTGATAGCCAACATGGGGAGTGGGTGAAGTTTTCTTTCCTCTATGTTTTTATCCTTCTTATTCTGTATTGCACACATTGGGCCCTTTATTCTCAGCTGGATAAGTTGTATCTTAATCACCCAAGACAGGCTCTTATCCCCAGAGACTCAATGGATGCTGCACTTTATCTTCAATATTTATGTCAGCCTCCGTTACATATGCCTTCTGCGTGCATCAAGATTTATTATAATCTTGTTCAAAGACTTTTTGCTTGATTATTGAATTCCTTGTACTCTATGAAAAAGGGTCGTGACCCCACCCTGACTGTCATAACAAAGTGGGAAAATGGCTCCAGGGTGGGGAGGGCTTTGAATCCATTCTGATTTTCCATTTGCTTAATCTGCTTTACAGGAATCTTTGGAGGATTAAATTAAACTAAATAGCGTGTGTTAAGCCCAGAGCCCATTGTACTCAGCCCTCAAGTCACAAGCATTGGTTTTCTTTAACTATTAAAAAGAACCTCTTGCCTATTGCAGGATCGTGACTACCCCATATTTTTCCCCTTAGTGGGGTTTGTCCACTGGGGGTGGGGGGTGAGGGAGACCCATGGAGTAAGTTTGTCTAAAGTTCATGAGGGCGCCTGAGCATGTAAATGTATGTATGGTTTCTTTCTTTCCTTTCTTTCCCTTCCTCTCCCTCTCTCCTTCTCTTCCCTTCTTTCTACTTTTCCTTTTCTTCTCCATTCTTCATCTTTCCCTTCCCCTTTGTCCTTCCTTCCCTCCCCCCTCCTTTATTGCTTTATTTCCTTTTATACCATCCTTTCTTTTCCCTACTTCCTCCCTTCCTTCCCTTTCTTCCTTTCTCTTTCCTTCTTTCTTTGTCTCTCCCTCTCATCTCCTTAACCCTCCGTACATCCTCCCCCTCCTCTGTCCCTCCCTCCTTCATCCCTCTCTCCATCCCTCCCTCCCTTTCTTCTTTCCTTGCCTTGGGGCTCTATCTCAGGGTCCTGTGGCTGCTAGGTAAGCCCTTTCCCTTGCTACTTTCTTCTCCGTACTTTGTCAGTCCTGGAGTTGAATCTACACTAACCCCAAATATTCCTGGAAGCATTTGTTGCCATGTTACTTGAAACAAACTGTGGGTGTTGGGGGAAACACACAAGCACCTAGTTGGAAGGTAACATGTTTTGGTTTTATAGTTTACCGGGGAATGGTAACTACCAGGTGTCTAGAGAGTCATTAGTAGTTGTTGATACAGAAGAGTACTACACTTTGAAATGATGTCAAGTTCCTATGACCTGGAGAAGCTTATGAATTCACTGGAGGGACTAAATATGGAACACCCTCAAAGTTAGATTGAGTACCAGGAAGACATGTATAAAACACTATGGTTTGAGCCCCTAAGTACTGCTGAAAGGCAATCCACTGCAGTGGACATTGGATTCACTAGAGCTCTGGGAGACTCATGGTCATATTTTAGTTCATACAACATGATTGTTTTAAATTAGACAGGTAGAAGCCACTGCTGATGAACACTTCCCATTGAAACCTGTGAGCATCCTGTCACAGTGACTTCCTTATCTTCCTGAAGTCTTGGTGTTCAGGCCAGCCTTTTTTAGACTCTCACTGGCACACTGTGCCAGACTACTCCTGCCCGAATCTTTCTGAGATGGCAGGATGCGGATTTCATCATAAATCACAAGCTACACTGAGAGTCAAAATCCCAGCCAGAGGTTTACTTCCAAAACCAGGACACATATTTTAGTACCAATGGACTTGGGAAACAGGAGCCAGACCCTTGTCTCTCTCTTAGAAGATTTATAATCCAGAGACTTGAGGAGGAGGGCGGGCTCTTCTGAACCCTACCCTCATCTCCCAGGTCCCCAAACCCAAAAAGTAAGGAGACACAACAATGAAGATGCAGATTTCATAGCACAACCTTCTTGGTGCGTTCTCACAGGGCTTCTGTCAGCGACGTATAAGGGATGTCACTTTTCTTTCAACATCAGACTTTACGGTAGTTGTCATCTTTATCAGAACACACAGAGGACTGAGTAGTTATACTTTTCAAAGGAAAGGCCTGGTGTTGTGTTCTCATGCATGTGACCACAGTTGTCGGGATGACAGTGCATGAGTCCAGACTTGGAGCCCAGGGTCAATAATGACTTGTTATAACATGAGTGGTTTGTGTTTGGTCATGCTGTCAGCAGCCAACAAGCTCTCTCTTGCTCTTTTTTCTCTCTAGATCCTTAAATCCAAAGACTTAACATCTCCCACCCAGCGCTACATTGATAGCAAGGTTGTGAAAACCAGAGCAGAAGGTGAATGGCTCTCCTTTGACGTGACGGACGCCGTGCAGGAGTGGCTTCACCACAAAGGTTACAAAGAACCTTCTTTCTCTCTCCCTAGATTTGACCCCAACAGCTTGTGAATTGTCCGCAGACATAGACACACATACAAATGACTCCCTTAACTTAATGTTTTCCAGACAGGAACCTAGGATTTAAAATAAGTCTACACTGCCCCTGCTGTACCTTCGTACCGTCTAATAATTACATCATCCCGAATAAAAGTGAAGAGCTGGAGGCGAGATTCGCAGGTAACTGAAGCTTGGTTTTTACTCTGAGAATCTCTTTGGGGTGGGAGGGGAGGTGTGGTAAAGTCAGTTTGCATGTGAAAGTGGCGTTGTTTCGTGAGGTGTGGGAACTCTTATTCATTTGGGCAATGATTTGCTTAGCAGTGGATAGTAGAAGATGGGTCTGGAGAGATGGCTCAATGGTTAAGATCTGAGTTTAATTCCTAAAACCCCCACCAGAGAGCTTGAAACTGCTTATAACTCCTGCTCCAGGGGAATCTGATGACTTCTTCTGACTTCCAAGGGCACCTGTACTCAAGTGCACACACAGACGCACATGCAGAATTAAAAAAATAAAATAACAATATTTTCTTTTAAGTGGAAAGGGTGGGAGAAAAGAGTAGACTCCAGGTTTTCACTGCTTCATACCCAGTGATGAAACTGGCTAGTTAACCCTGTGAACTATCAGCCAATTAAGCCACCCGTTTTTCTTCACTTAAGCCAATCAACTTCCCATCTGCTGAGATTAGTAAGCAACAAGAATTTAAGGAAATCCATTTCTAGTCCCCTAAGCAAAATTTCAAGCATCGACAAGTATATTTTACCCAAAAAAAGAGTTGCCTCATGTCTCAGCTTCTGTAACTCATCCTCCATGCGTTGGGACACACTGCCTTTTGCTAGCTTGCACCCGTAATTGCAAGTGGCTTCCCTACCAGATTTCTGTAGCAACTAGTAAACATAGAATGAAACCTCTATTTCCCCTGCTCATTTTTAAGATGCTGAGGGTTCAAGTCACTTGGCTTATTAGGCAGTGAATTGTTGGTTGACAAGGTGAAAGAGAAGTCTGCACCCACGTGCTGCAGTGGCATCTGCCTTCATTCCCTTAGAACCCCACCTGGGACCTCCATCCACTTTTAGAAATCCTCAGTGGCCCTTGGTTATGGAAAAACACTCCCAGAGGTGTAGAGATTTATTTCAGTCTCTAGCCTAGCCACGATTCTCCTGAGTGGAGATTAAATGCTTAAATTGGCAGCCTCTTGAGCATGCTTTAGGGAGCTCAGGTTTCTAAATCTCAGATGGAATCAGAAAAGTGTTGAGGATGCCATAAAATAAATGAAAAAGCTCTTTCTGCACAGCTTCCCAAAATAGCATTAGGTAAGGGTGACTCCTGTTTCACCTAAACCTAGTTCGTGGCCATTCAGCTAAGCCTCAGTTTATGCTCATTAGGGAAGTCTTCTGAGTGGAGCAGTCTCAGGAGAAGAGGGAACCAGTGGGTGACAAGGCAGGCTCTATGGCCGAGTGTTCTGTTGCTGAGAGCCTGCACACAGCCCACACTGAGGATGGACTAAAATAAACTGCCTAGGTTGCCCTTGGACCATAGGTCAAAGACTTCTTGTGTAGTGACTTTTCCCAGTAACAGCCCTGTCTTCAACACAGCACCGCCTTTGGACAAGAGGCCCATTTAGATGTGTTTCTTGTCACTTGTGGGAGGCCTGTTGTGCCATATCTGTTGCTGTGGGGAATGATGGTAGCCAGTGAATGCGGCTGTAGTAGTTGTCACTGCTGTTTGTGACCATATACGGGGGTGGGGGACACAACTATATTATATAAATATTGCTGCTTATATTTGATAAAGGTAAAGCTAAATGTTTATTACCCAAATGCATTTTTTCAAGGTATTGATGGCACCTCCACATATGCCAGTGGTGATCAGAAAACTATAAAGTCAACTAGGAAAAAAAACAGTGGGAAGACCCCACATCTCCTGCTAATGTTGTTGCCCTCCTACAGACTGGAGTCACAACAGTCCAGCCGGCGGAAGAAGCGTGCTTTGGATGCCGCCTATTGCTTTAGGTAAAGAAATGAAAATAAAAAAACGTGTGTTTGAGTCTACTGACTCTTGAGTTGCCTTTCCTTTCTCTTGCATACACTGACCTGAAGTGAAGTCACTGCTCAAGGTATATTGGACAGTAGAGCTTTTGAATCTTGGAATGACATTCTCCCCAAGGACTTTCTAAAAATATTTTTATTTTATTTTTTTTTATTAAAATGTAATTATAGTACGTGATTTCCCTTCTCCAGCTCCTCCTTTTTGTCCTATGTTCCCTCCCAAATTCATGGCCTCTTTTTCTTCAATTATTATATGTGCAACATATATGTAAATAATTATATAAATGCAACCTGATGAGTCTATTTACCGTTGATTATTTATAGATGTTTGAAGGCTGACCACTTTGTGTTGGATAACCATTTAGGGGGTGCATTCCTGGGGAAGACTAATTTTCCATTTCTTGGCCACCATCTTGCCTGTAGGTCTTTGTTGGAGCAGGGCCTTGTGACATTTGCCCCATCCCTGTCGGCATGTCAACTGGTGTTGGTTGTCCTTGCTCAGGTCTTGTTTAAACAGCCATATTGTTGAGGTTTCCTGAGGACTTTTAACAGTTTTTGTTTGTTTATTTGTTTTTGTTTTGTGCTGTGGCCCTTAGCTCTGTGTGAACTGGGTATGAAGGGAGAAATTTAGCTCCTGGGCTGTTTTCTCTATGTCTTGGGTTCTGGTAAGTTCTGATAGCTCTCTGCCCACAAGCAGCATAAGTTTTCTTGAGATTTTAACTAGGTAAATAAGACATGCCATGCCTTGAAGCTCACCCTGGGCTCTGATCTATTTCTGAGTTACAGAAATAGCACAAGCAGGCAGATGGCCATACCTTGAGCTGCAGGGTCTGTCATGAACCAGAGAACCGTGCAAAAGATTGTTTGCCACCTTTACATGAATTTGTGAGGGGTAGATGTGTGGTTCTCTGTGTTTCCTGTTGGAGGAGGAATCCCTTTTTGGGAACTTGTGAATCAGAGGCAGGGTCCTCTTTGTGAGGGGTTCACCATGTCATAGGTCACAAATAGAGAAGGACATTTCAGTTGCCAGAGACAGTAATTATGGTGATGAGACTCCATATTTCTTGAACTGTGATTTATTCCTGATCTAGTAACAGATGGTAAAGCATAGAATATATTCTCAAAGGAAAATGCCTCCAGGGGCTCTCTGAAAATATCTGTTTTATTTTATCCATTGTATGGACAAACCAGCCATAGAGGCTGGATGTGCAGCAGATGTTCTGCAGGAAAGACTCTTCCCCTTTCAACTGCCTTCCTGCTTATGCTTGTGTGCATTGGAGGTGTATATTGATTTTCCAGGTCATAGACAAGATGATCAGAGTACAGAATACATAAGGGAAAAAGGTCCAGGGACTGTCAGTATCTCACTGTTGACATCATGTGAGAGTGTAAGTCATTAAGACCAGGCTCTGGGTGCTCCAGGTTAATGGAATAAGTGAATGGGTCATTTTTTTCTGATTTAGGGTGAGGTGCATGCAAAGTCAACTCCAAAATCCTCTCTGCTTTTTCTTTGAACAGAAATGTGCAGGATAATTGCTGCCTTCGCCCTCTTTACATTGATTTTAAGAGGGATCTTGGATGGAAATGGATCCATGAACCCAAAGGGTACAATGCTAACTTCTGTGCTGGGGCATGCCCTTATCTATGGAGTTCAGACACTCAGCACACCAAAGTAAGTATCTGGATTGTTGGTTTCTCCTACTCTTGCCTAAGTCAGCAATGATGGTGATGATGATGGTGGTGGTGGTGGTGACGACAATGATGATGCCAAACTCAATAGTTGTTGTAAAATACAAACTGTATATTTAAGATGAATATCGTTTGATGTTGCTTGCTACTTTTTTGATACAGGATCTAATTGTGTAGCCCTGGCTGTCCTGGAACTCACTATGGAGACCAGCTGGCCTTGAATATATGGCAGTCTTCCTGCTTGTGTTTCTCAAGTGTTGGGATTACAGGCATGTGCTACCACAGCTGTCTCTCTGAATCTTTTTGACTAGGATCAAAGGTGAACATATAGCTAAGTGTTTTATCAAGTTACTTTAATGAGGACAGAGGGCTAACTCAGCAAGAAATTCAACATCAGATGCCGTGATGGAGCCTAGATGAGCACAAAGTTTTTCTGCATGCTAGTATATCTAATATATACTTCCATGAGCTTCCTCTTTGTGGCTCATGGTGTAGGATTTTAAGGATGGGAAGGACTTCAGAAAGGGTCTTGTTCAAACAGAATTTCTCTACAAACAATGAAATCAGAATGTAGAGGCTATGGCTGCCTAACCCAAGATAAAAACAAATCCTCGGCGATGCAGACCTTGGACTGCAGCCCTTGTTTGCTTTATAACCCAGTTCCCGTCACTCCATCTCTCTGAGCTTAATTCCTAAACTGTGGCTGCAAGTAGAGGTTTCTGTTCTGCTCTTTATGCTTCTGTAAATCTCCTTATTAAAGAGGCATTAGAAACATTGCCTTCGCTGCAGGGTAGGAAAATGAATCTGCTGCCAGAGAGATCATATTGGGTTGAATTTGAGAGTTAGGTGTTATCAATTATTTTAGACAATCTGTGTTATAAAAATGGCTCCTCTCTGCTTATGAAAAATTATGTATTAGTAAATATGAGGTCTATTTATTTACAAATACCGGCCTGCACTGGAATTGAAATGGACAAACATGGCTTCCCTTCCTCTAGTCTTCTTCCCAGTGCCCCTGTAGGGTTGGTACTCGGGGATGATCACGTGCTTAGCCATGTGAGGGAAGCTGGCTCATGCCTGTCCCTTTGTCTGAGCTCTCTCGCCAGCCTGATTCATCTGGACTGTAGCAGCAGTAGCTGTAATGCAAGCAGGGCCTGGTTGCCAAGTGGAAACGTAATTCTCCTCCCTGATACACAGAGGGAGTGTGTGAAGGCTGAGACCTGGCTTGTTTTTCAAGGAGAAGGAAGAATAACTGTCATGGTCACAAATATGTGGTTTGGACAGTTCCCCAAGAAGCTAGGGGTAGCCTAATAAAGTAGGCAGTGTTGCTGTGCTCAACAGGTCTCTTGTCCTTGGTTGAAAACATCCCAGGGAATCTCGAGGAAAAGGTCACTTGTTTGACTAACACATTAATGGCATCCTTGGAAATGTCTCTGTCATCACTGGGTGACCTACACACTTCCATCAGTAAGAGCCACACGCCTCTGTAAGGGAGACTGGGATAAAGCTACAGAACTCTGTGCAACACGTTCTCTTCTGTCGTAGGACTTGCTAATTAGTTCTTGAACTTAGTCATCCCTATTTAGCATGAGGAATGGTAATGGAGGGTCGGTGACTATGACTGCTTTAGGCAACGTGTAAGAAAGTGAGCAACTAGGACTAGAAATTAGTGGTTTGGGGTGAGAAGGAGGGTGATACACACCTGAAATTCTAGAACTCAAGAGGCTAAGACAGGAGGATGGTGAGTTTACAGCCAACCTGGGCTGTATAGTGAGTTCAAGGTCAGTCTGATCTATGATACAGTGTAGGCAACAAAGGAAGGCTCTGTATCAAAGTGAGAGAAAGGAAGAATGCTTGTGGCTTTCAGGCTGCTTTTTCCTCCATCCTTAGCATCTCTGTAATTATGAAGTCATAGTAAGTAAACCATGTTTTAAATGAAAATGTAAGTGGCATTTCATTGGTCCGTGAAGACACATGGCTGAAGACACATGACTGACAGATATCCTGCTGCAGACAGATATGCTTTCTGTACCTGAGGGCAGATTACAGTTCTTATTGAGGATTTCAATGGAATATTTTATTCCTCTACTGATCATTTTATCCTCCAGCATAGAGTCGTATTCTGTCAAGACAAGACTTCATAGACAAAGCGAGCAGACTCCCTGAGTCCAAGGAGATCTCTTAACTGATGTGGCAATGTAAAAGGGGTATTCATGCAACCTTGGTTCTGAATTTATATAGGAAAAAAAATAGCAGGTGACTTATTGTAAAAAGTTAGGAAAATCTGCTACTTGAGCAATTTAATTTGGTTCAGTCTGATTTTTTATGGAGACATTTGTTTAATATGTACACAGAGAACAAAAGTCAACTTGTGGGAAAATTCTAAACTTGCAGTTGCTAAGGACACAAGCCAATCTTACCATAATTTAGAGGTAAGAAAAAAGTAGTCATGATTAAGATTACATACTCAGTAGCCCCGAGCAAGGAAAGTGGCTCAGTCGTTAAAATGATATGAGCATGAGAATCTGTGTTCTGTTTCCATCAACTGTGTAAAAGCTGGACCAGATAGGCCACTGTACTCCTATAGCATCAGATGGGCAGAGATGATGTCAGAGCAGTGAGGGTAGAGACAGGAGGATCCCTGGAGTTGGCTGGCCCAGCCAATCTAGCCAAATCAAAGAGCTACAGGTTCAGTGAGAGACCTAGCCTAAAACAAACAAACAAACAATGAAGTGGAAAGAGACTGAGGAAGATGCCTACCATTTACTTCTGGCCCCTGCTCACAGGTGCACACACATGCGCATGTGCACAAGAATTAAAAACAAAACTAAACACTTTCTTGTGTCTTTCTCTGTGTTGTGTCACGCAGGTCCTCAGCCTGTACAACACCATCAATCCCGAAGCTTCTGCTTCCCCCTGCTGCGTGTCCCAGGATCTGGAACCACTGACCATCCTCTACTACATCGGCAACACGCCCAAGATCGAACAGCTTTCCAACATGATCGTCAAGTCTTGTAAATGCAGCTAAAGTCCTCGGGAAAGCCAGGACACGAGAACCACGGTGACAACGGAGCATGACGACAGCAACTACGATGATGTTCATGACAGGAGGGAGTTTTGATTCATCAGTGTTTTTTTAAAAAAAAAATAAAATAAAATAAAATTGGAGAGAAAAAAAAATCGGTACTAGTTCAAACATTTTGCAAGCTTGTGTTCTGTTAAAATTGGCATCTGAAATTACAGCCACAACAACCACAACAAATGGAAGGCATTAGTCTGCATCTCACCTACTTCCTGACAGACACAAAAAGAAAACATCTTTTTTTTTTTAAAGGAAAAAATAAACACTGGAAGAATTTGTTAGAGTTAATTATGTGAAAGAAAAACAAAATGAAACAGGAAAATCCATTTAATGGAGTTGTACATATTGTTTCCACCCCACACTTCACCCCACGCCTCTCCTGGTTCCTCTGTATTACTCTGCAGTGGATGCGCTCCCTGTCCCTTCCTCAGAGCTAACAGTGGGTTATTTATTGTGTGTTACTATATAATGAACCTTTCATTACCCTTGGAAAATAAAACAGGTGTACAAATGGAGACCAAATACTTTGCCACAAACTCATGGATGGCTTAAGGAATTTGAACTCAAATAAGCCAGGGGGGAAGGAGGTCATACTGGATGACCCTCGTGAGTCATTATAGGACCGAGCAAGTCTGCGGAAAAAATCAAAGCTCCAGCTGTGCACCGCCTGCCTGCCGAAGCTTCATGGACGGCCATATGCCCAGAAGGCCTGTTAACAAAGAAAACTTGGAATCAGTGGGAATCTGGAAGATTTGGATTATTTTTCCCTTTTAATTGTAAATGGTTCTTTGCCAGTTTAAGCAAGCCAGTGAAATGTTGACCTGTTTTGATATGTATTGTCAGACTTTTGACCGTGAAGTGGCTATTGATCTACAATACAGGTTTTTCCTTTGTCTTGGTATATGTAATTACATGGATATTATTAAAATAGACGGGTCTAGAAGCCAGCATGATTGAAAACACACTGCAGATCTGTTTTACAAACTATCAAATCTAAACAGTAACTACTTTACATGTAATGTGTAGATCTTACCACATTTTTAATATTCTGTAATAATGATTATGACTTAGATTGAACTTAAACTTGGACTCTTTTTTTTTTTTTAATGATCATTCAGATTGTATGTTTGTTTCCTTTAGCTGGCCAGTACCTTTGAATAAAACCCCTAGATTTTGACCTGTACTACAAATTCAATTTTTTTTATACTATCTTCTTTGTCTGTATTTTATCTATTGTCCATTTAATGACATAAACTACCTGGGTCTATTCCTCCTGCCCACCCTTGTGTTCCTTCTATTTTCCAAAAGATGAAAATCAAACCAAACAAAAACAAAGCCCAAAAAGATAGGATTGAGTTCCACAGTGTTCCCCCATCTTTTCTGCATCAGTATGAGTCAGGTCGGATGGTAAACAGTGCCTCTGGGAAAATGGAGCCTCATGAACACAGAAAACTGAGCACAAGCATAGGTTTAGAAAGGGTTTAAGAACATGAACTCGAGAGTCTTGGTGACTGGGCTAGAAAAAGTTTCTTTAACTCATATATTTATGGATTCTTTTTGCTATTCAAAAGCAGACAGGTCAAAGGAAGCAACTTTTTCTTTAATTGGGCTTTTGGTGTTCATGGGGAGTATTGAAAGATACACAGTTTGGCTGAGTTTTTCAAAAGGGGGAAAAGTCCAGGCCGCCACTCATCTTTTTATTCTTAATTTCATTCATTATTTCCTTGATTTTACTGAAGTTCAGGTGTTGAAAGACATTTTTTGCAGGCTGAAAAAAAAAAAAAGCACAAACCAAAATTTCCCTTGTCAAAATATTCTTCCGTTCACCTGAGCAAGCATGCTTCTTCCGTTCACCTGAGCAAGCACGCTGTACGGCCAAGGTCAGCTTTCACTTGGCTTGAGGTTGTTGGATCTCAGTGGTGGGACATGATGGTGGACTTTTCAGGGTGGGTATCCTTGTCACAGAGCTCCAAAATATAATCCAGTCCACGAAACGATGGGCTATTTGTGGTCTCATCCTGAGGGCAGCACAGTGAGGTGTGAATACAAAGAGAATCTCTCTGATATTGTATGCTTATCTGAGGAGCTTTCCTCAAAATTCACTAAGATGAAGAATAGAATTTGCAAGCCAGAAGACAGACAGAGCAAGCGCTGGTGAATGGCCCTGTGTCGGGTGTAGCACAGATGTGCCCAGATGTGCCCCCTGTGCTTCAATTCTTTCCCCTCCCACATTTCTGTTATTTCTCTATGATTCCCCACCACCCCTATTTCTGCAGATATTTTCCTCTCAGATAAAATGACATTAGTTTTGTTCTGTATGATTTGTCTCTCCTTCTGAATGCACTGACTGCTCTTTTAAGGGTTCTTGAATCTTTTTTGTTTAAGTCTGTGGGTTCTACAGGTCTTTCTTTCCCATTAGTAAATGTTGCCACAGGAGGGACGGTAGTAGGGAGGGGAGAGGGTGTTAGCATATGGGTGGGGCAGCAGATTGTATGTGTTAAGCAACAGTACAATTTTATGCTTGGCCTGGGTTTTAAAGAATGGGATATAAGAACAGATGTTACATGTTTTGATGACCAATTTTGCTGTATTTTAAAACACGATGCATGTCTGGTTTTGTGGTGCTCTAGTGGTAAATAAATTATTTCAGTTACCTGTTGCTGTGTTCTTCCTGTCAAAGAGTGATGCTTGAGACTAGAAGACATATGTGATGATGGTTACACTGGGACCAGTGTGGTTAAAGCTGTCCACTAGGCTTTTATCACACAGCTGTTCACTTTACCAATACCACACTATGGCTCCCGAGCCAGGGCATAGCAATAAAGAATGGAGCAAAGGCTGTGCTGGCTTTTTATTTTCTCATTTATTGCTATTTGGTAATTGTTTGGGGTTTAGTTTCCACCCAGCTTGACTGTCTACCAGAAGGAAAAAAAAAAAAAAGAGCAGATATTTGGGCCATGATTTGGCTTTCTGGTTCTATGTTCTGCCAATCCCAGGGCCAAAAGTACCGGTCTAGACAGGATCCCCTGTCGCCCTATAATTTGGATAGTTAGTGAGCCAGCCAGATATAACAAAAGCCACGTGCACTTTGGGGTCACTGCTTGAGAGCAGTTACTCCTGTCTGCTTTACCCACAGCACTGTGCACAGATGTGCACACACACACATGCCATCATCTTGAATCTCCTTGGTTCGTACTTAGAGGATCCCAGTTCTCAAGTGAGTTGCCAGCCTCTTAGTAAGGAGAGCTTATGAGAGAGTAGATGTGCCTCAGGCTAGTCAGCTCACTTTGTCTAATGAACTTCGTTTGCATCCTCTGTGTTGTCCACGTGTCACAGAGAGAAGCCCTCAGCAGGAGCATGGGAGGAGACTGGAGAATGGGTGCCTTTCTCACCACCTTATTACCTGCTGCTGCCATCACATCCTGTCTGATCTTAAGTGGAGGATATGTTCCACTCTAACCTGAGTCCAGGGCTCTGTGAAGAATGAGCCAGACAAAGGCTGTCACCCATCCCATATCATAGCATGATTATTGTTGAGAGAGAATCAAAATGGGCATAGAGGACTGACAATGGAAAAAACTCCCAGCAGCCCTCAAACACAAAAAAGGTTTTCATATATCCCCTTTCTTACTTCGCCTCCTCCTCCTCTTCCTCTTCTTTTTCCGCCTCCTCCTCCTCCTCCTCCTCCTCCTCCTCCTCCTCCTCCTCCTCCTCTCCCTCCCTCCCTCCCTCCCTCCCTCCCTCCCTCCCTCCCTCCCCTCTCTCTCCTCCTTTCTGGTGGTGGTGCTGGAAACTGTACACTAATCAAATGCAGTAAGGCTTAGGCACACTGCCAACTGTTTCTTTACCTTCCCAGAATGTCTGATCTTCATCTCTGCCTATTTGTGAATGGTCATGAGGAGAAATTCTTAGCTCAGTTGTAATTGACCGTTGGGCAACCATTGTGATAGTCTATACCTCTTCCGTGTTGGGTCATGGCAGTCCTTGCAGTAATGAACTAATGTCCAGACTGTAGCTTGGAGCCACACATCTCCATCAATCTGCTCCAAACCAATATTTCTCATCAGCCATCAGCCATTCCTGAGAAGATCTCATGGTTCTGTAGGCTAACCTTTTGATGACATATTGAAAATTGGCTGGTTGAATGACCTTCATCACATGGCAATACCAACTGTAGTCCTTTTAGTCAGGAGATTTGCTCTCACAGCCTTTGATGTAGATGTAGTTTTAAAAGATTTACTTCATTTTTAATTACTTGTATGTGTGGGTCATATGCACTTGAGAATGATGTGCCTGCCCAAGCCGTAAGAGGATGTTGGCCCACATGAGACTGACATTCTAAGAGAACTTGGGCCCTCTATAAAGGCAGTATGCTTTCTTAGCCACTCAGCTGTCTCTCCAGTTTCAAAATATATTTTATATAATCCCATGGTATAGGAGAGTGAATGGGAACTCACAGTGGGTTGATTACTTTCCTCTACAGGTTGCAAAGGAGGGTCTAGGACACTATTGTCCAATATATGAGTTACATGTGTTAATTATGGAAATTATGAAATTATAGCTGATCTGACCTGAGACAGGATACAGGTGTAAAAAGTTCACAAAATCTTTCAAGATATAGGTACAAACGCATGCAAAATTTAAACACCCTCAATATAATAGTTTTTATAGTTACAATGTATCTAAATATTCTTGGATATGTGTGAGTTTAAATCAAGCATGTGGTTAAATGCTTTATTTTAACCACACCTGTTTTTCTTTAAAATTATTTTTACATGGTTACTAAAAATTTGGGTGGGATTTTGTATTTTGAGTTGAGTTCTATTCCATGAGACAGCTCTGATGTGGAGTTTTGTTTGTCTTTTCTCCATTTCTTCTGGTTTGTGAGATGGGATCTCACTATGTATCCCAGGCTGCCTCAGCCTGGAAGTGCTTGGATTTCAGGTGTGTAGTACCTCCTGAGTTGTGCTGTAGAATTTGAAAACAGCTATGTTTGGAAACAAAAGCTAAGTTATTTCCACAAATGATATTATCAGCCTTTGTTTTTGTAATTAATGTGTTGTTGAACTATGTTAGGACCTACCCAATGGAAGTACAGTCTTAGTCAGCCTTTGTGAAATATGGCATATCTATAGGGAAGAACGTACCAGCAAGTCCTCAGTGACAAAGGTCAGAAGGAAAATATGGCCATGTTATAAGCCTCACTGTCCAAGATCTTGTGTAATTGGTGGTTGCCTACTAGCAATGTAGTGGGGCAGTTCAACCTCGCCTGGACACATTAAGCTGTTAAACAAAATGCTTTCAACCCATAAAGGCCACATTAATGTTCCAGTGGCAATCACCTACCTTGCTAAAGGGAAAAACAAAAACCCAAATACTTACTGTGTTTGCTTGAGTCATGAGACAACATTGATTTTCCAGGAAAGAAGTTATGCAGCATACTCTAGCCCTCAGACCTTCTAGAGGCAGAGTTGGGTTTTCTATTCCTGGAGTAGTTCACCCCAACTTACATATTTCATTCATAAAATTAAGCTAGAGGCTTAGAACGTGTACACAGACATGAAAAGAAAGAACACGTGGGCTGAAAAATCGTCCTGGCAAATAATCTTTAGTAACTGATTCTGTCATTCCTAGCAAAGACGGGTGACTGCACAAACCCGGATTCGTCCTTCCCTTACTCATTTCGAAAGCTGCATGGGCCATTCTCTACTGCCTCCCAAGGCTCCTCAGTCACAGTACCCACTAGATGCTATGAAACTAGAGTGATGATTAATATAAATTCTAGATCATGGTATCCATGTATCATCTATCTTTTATGTATCTATCCTCTGATGTCTATGTAAATTTATTATCAATCATTTATGTAAATATCTATCTTCTATCTCTATCAAATAGCTACCTCCTAGCTCTGGGTATCATCTACCATTTAGACAACATTGATTTTTCAGGAAAGAAGTTATGCAACATGACTCTAGCCCTCGGACCTTCATTTCTAGCTATGAATCATTTCTATTTATGATATCCACTCCATCTCTATCAACTATCAGGCATATCTATCTATCTATCTATCTATCTATCTATCTATCTATCTATCTATCTACCTATCATCTATCTCCCTATCTATCATCTACCTACTTATCGATCTAACTTTGTGGGAGGATGCAAACAAAAGGTTTTCCAGTGACCTTATCTTTAAAAGATTGCTTTAGGCTTCTCCCTGCATGAGTCTTTATTTCCTTGAAATTCTTTGTAGTTGATTCTTTTTTTTTTCTTATTTCAACAAGTAATAGCTGTTTGTAGGAGAGTTGACTGTGTTCCTATAATTGGGTAGGAACCTCATAAAAGGAACAGAATGTACCAAGGGACACTTTGTGTTGTATGATCAGAACTAGAGAAATGATCCACCCAAAGAGAACAGGCCTAATTAAACAGAAAAAAAAAACCCACAAAAACAGCGGTAAAGAAAAAGGCCCAATATAATCTCTCAGGATCTCTCTCCCAGAGAAGGAGTTTTCTCTGCTGCAGATGCCAGCTCAATTGAAAGAACACAGATGTGTCATTCAGTTAACAGCACAAAGCTCCTGCCAGCCTTGGTGACAGAAACCCTTTCCATAGGCCCAAGGCTTCATTCTGAATCCTATAGCAGAGCCCCAGCCTCAGGATGTTGGGAGCAAACAAGTTAAGAAGTTATGCAATCCAATCCTGTTCTAAAGGCAATGTGAAGTCATGCAGCTTGGCTGGAACTCAAGTATGGGTGGACCACGAGTTTCTTCATTTGAGACAAAATTAAACAGTACAGAAAACTGAGCAGAACTTTCAACCAAATGGCTGTGCTGGATCAAGTTTCCCATTGCCATGTGTGCATGTGTCTTCCCCTTGCTCATGGCCGGGTGTTTGAAGGAACTTTAGGTTTCATTCAGATTCTTACAAAGGGAGCACAGAAAGAAGCTGGTAGGGAAGTCTTGAGGAGCCTTTGGGAAGCCTAACACCCTCTGGAATTTATTTTCTTGTTATAGATCTGACAGTCTATTAGGAAGATATTAAGTAGTAAAGACATCTTCATTACTGTATGATGTGTGGAGAAAAACATACACTTATTTTATATATGCATGTACATGCATAATTATAAATGTATATAAATGTGTATGTCCATATGTGTATACATATATGTGTGGATATGTTTGATGTCCTTAGGGGTACAACATAAGAAATAATTACCAGCCTAGGATTCTAAAGTTGATACCAACTTAGACAAAGGAAGGCTTCCTAGCAGCATGGGAGCAGAAGGGTGAACAGACAAAGGGAGGGGGACAACAAAGGGAGAAGAGATTCTGACAGCCTACTATGTGACCAGCATCTTGAATGAAGACTATGATGGCTATTCAGAATGTGGTGATAGATGCCTGTAACCCTAGCACTCAGTAGG